AGTGTGCCTAGGTAATGAATATCTATTTAAGTGTTCCATTGCATTGTCAATGCAAATCCAGAGACAATATATTTGCAAGCGTAATCATGATAAACTGAAAAGCACTCTGTTTTGTTTATACTTTTTTAAAATAACTTTCAGAAAAATAGATGTTTCAGAAGTATGGGTTTGACAAACTATATATAATACCTACAAGTACACAAGTAATAAGAGAGATGTTAAGGATAAGTAATCGTGCATGCAAACAGTTTCGCTACAATTTCTTGAAAAGATGGAGTTGTATCACACGTGCAAAATTTTAAAGGCCCATAATAAAGCTGCATATTCACTTAGTGCAAAATCTCTTCCCAATTTGTTTAATGTTGCTTTAATAGCTCTTATGTATAATATATTTCCATTTATTGGTATGAACAATTGATCGTATTGCACACTTAAAATGTATCCCTTAAAGATGTCTTTTTGTTGTTTTTTGAAGAGTCAAATCCTGAAAAAAACCACAGAAATTCAGAATTCGGGCTTTGTCTATCTCATGGTATTGTACCCAAGTATTGCACTTCGTATGGTTTTAAGACTAAGCTATTCTGACGTTTACCTGAAAAAGAACTAGATTCACTGTAGCACTGGGGACAAAGGATGACTTAATAATGGTTTAACAACCTTAATTCTGAATTTATTTGCTTGTGAGAGTTCATACCCTTCACTTTTTGTGTGTTTAATATATTTATTATCACAAACTTATCCTAAAATGTTCTATGTTCAGGCTACTGAGAAATAAAGGTAAAAGTGATCCAGAGTAGGTTTAAGCAAATGGAACAGGTTGGAGTATTAAGAGAAAGTAAAACTGAGGATCTGTTAAATAATCTAGCTCCCAAAGCAAGATAATTTCAGCAAGGATTAGAGTTTAGAGGATCAAAAAAAGATGACTATTCATTATCATAATATAGAATTTTAAAAAGTGTTTAAATGGCATAAGAAATTAAAACAAAAGTCAGTCATAAGAGGCACAGAAATTCCAGGAAAACAACACAAGAATTTGCCTCTACTTGATGGACTAAAATTATTGAAGCCATCCTGGAAGGGCCAATGAATCAAACTAAACAGCTTTCATACTTCCAGAAGCATGCTCTGATAGATTAAAACAATAATCTCCTTAAACGCAGAATCACTAGCAGGTGCACACTGATACTATAAAACCTCAAATGCCATAAAAATATGGATTGAAACTAGACTCAGGGACTCCTAAGAAAGCTACTCAGTGGTACAAAAGATTCTTAGCGCTTAGCAGTTTTGTTCTGCAATCTGAGCACACGTTCCATTAAAAATAATATGCTATTTTCAACTCAAAGCCAGAATTCTTATCTAGCTCCTGTAAAAATGAATTTAGTCCAGTGGAAAGATAAAGCATCAAATAACAGATTCAGATTCTTTACTGGGCTTTTCTGCTGTGCCGGAGGCTGAAGTGCTTTCATTTTCCAGCATTTTCTTAGTTGTTTCTTCATCAACAGCTTTTTCTTTCTCTTTTGGCTTCTTCTTTTCGTGAACCCATGGGATGAAAGATAATATAATTCCTCCAATCATGGGGGGAACTCCAGCCAGGTAAAATGCTACATCGTAGGTACCTAGGTAGTCACGCAGTATACCTGGGGAAATAGAGAATTATCACTAATATGTAATGTAGCTGCTGCGGTTTTATTCAAAGCATGCTTATTCATAGATTCAGAGACTTTAAGACTAGAAGGAACTATTTATGATCATCTTGTCTGGCCTCTAGCATAGCACAGGTATACAATTTCACCTAATGATTTATTTATCTAGTCCAATAACAGGTGGCTGAACTAGGGCATATCTTTTAGAACAAGATCCAGTCTTGATTTAAAGACTCCAAGTGATGAAGAATTTACCCTTGAAAATCTGTTCTAATGGTTAATTACCCTCACTGTTAAAACCCTGCATCTTATTTCCATTTTGAACTTTTGATTTAAACTTCTAGCCACTGAATCTTGTTATGTCTTTGTCTGATAAATTAAATGAGATATTGTCTCCCTCTGCAGGTAATAATAGTCTTTGATCAAACTGGCTCTTAAACATTACATCACATATGCAAAACAGATTGCACTCCTTCATAGTCTCGCTTTGTAAAGTGTGCTTTCCAGATGACAAATCACGCTTGTGGCTCTTTTGTGAATCCTCTCCAACTATTCAATATCCTATTAAAGTGTTGACACCAGACCTGGATACATTATTTCAGCAGTGGTATAACCAGTGCCACATAAAAAGAGTTAATATCGCCTTCCTACTGCAGCTCAGTATTTCCATACTGTTACACCCAAAGATCAGGTTAGCAGAGCACCACATTTGGAGCTCACAATCAGCTGGTTTTCAGCAATGGCCCCATGATCCTTGTCATGGTCAATGCTTTCTAAGATGTACTCTTCCAATTATGTAAATATTGCCTAAATTCTTTGTTCCTAGATGTATTATTTGCATTTGGCTAGATTAATATGCATTTGATTGCACTCAATTTACCAAGCAATCCAGATCAATCTGTACCACTGCCTTGGTCACTATTTGGCAGCTCACCAATCTGTATCATCTGCAAACTATCAACAATGATTTTATATTTTCTTCCAGATATAAAAATATTAAACAATCTTTGGCTGAGAATCAATTGCTGTGGGAGCCCACTAGAAATTCTCCAAATTCTGGCTTAAGCGACTTGCCCAACATCATATAGGGTATCTGTGACAGATCACAGGACAAGATTCTAGGTCTCCTGCAGCTCAGTGCCTTAAGTCACAGGATAATCTTTTTCTTCTTGTCTATCTGTTTGCTCCTAGGCTAAACCTGGGAATCATGTGCCCTCTGAGCTACAAACCCTTTCCCAAAGATTGAGTGTCATGTTCATATTGTGTATCACGGGAAAAACACTGAAGTTTGTTGTCCTGCTTTACTCACCTAATGGGCCATAATTTAGAAATAGAAAGATTACAATAAGTTGACTTCTCTCTAGAGAGAAAACCTTCACCCTAAAAGTCATAATCTTTACTTTCACAGAGAAACAAATAAATGCTGAAATTGTAAAAGTGAATATTAAAAAGTATAATGAACATTTTGTTTATTAGTACATTTTATTGAACAAAAACTAACATTTTAATCTTGAAAAATATGTCCAAGTGTAAAATCATATTTCGCTTCTTTTGGCCTTAGAATGAGGTATCTTGCACTACAATTAATGTCATTTCTGTCATAAAAGTAAACTAAAATTATTAACCCAGGCAAAGATTTAAAAAACATATGTAGTAATAGAATGATGTTAGCGGGCTACATAAGGCCTGGTCTACACGGGGGGAGGCGGGGCAAGGGAGAGGGCAGCGAGCTAAGTCAGTCTAAGTCACGCAACTTCAGCTACAAAAATAGTGTAGCTGAAGTCGACGGACTTAGAGCTATTTACTGCGGTGTCCTCACTGCGGTAGGTCAATTGCTGATGCTCCCCCGTCGACTCCGCTTACACTTCTCATTCCGGTGGAGTACCAGAGTCGAGGGGAGAGCGCTCGGCGGTCGATTTATCATGTCTTCACTAGACGCAATAAATCGACCCCCGTTGGATTGATCGCTCCGGAGGTAAGTGTAGACATGCCCTAAATATCAATGATCGTTTGATTAAAGTAATTTGAGCAAAATTTTAATTTAGTCTAGTTTAAATATTTGTTTATTATTATCCTACAATAGTTCTCAATTAAATTACATCCTACTAGTCAACCTTTTTAATTATTATTAAATATTGATATTATGGTAGCATACAAAGGCCCCACTCAGATTGAGTGCAAGCAAAATGCATGAATGCTAAAGACTGTATAAAAAGGAGCAATATAACATTTTATTTTTCTGGGGAACTTGTGTTCCTTTCAGACCTATACAGCCTAAACAACATTACCCTTTTTATACCACACACAAACTTTAAAACCCCATCTGCAAGGATGTGCGTTATGCCAACCATTCTACTACCCAGGAACTAGACTCTTTGGGTATGTTTACACTGCAGTAAAATACACCCAGCTGTGAGTATTTTATTGCAGTGTAGACATACCCTTTGGAGACAATACTTTCGTTTTTAAGAAGCAATTAAGTGAACTGCAGCCTCTCTCCTCACATATGCATATGGAAATTTCAGAAAACAGTGAAAATTGCTTATAGTCTCTAAAAGTATGTCTACACTGCACCCTCCTTTCAGCGGTGTGTACAGTACACACATAACATGCCCCTCTAGCACAGCTATAAACAGCAATGTAGATTGTGAGGCACGGCTTAGGTGGGTACAATAAGGCCACGCCTGAACCCTTTGAGTATGTATCCTACTCACCCAAGCAGTGCCTTCTCCTGTCTACAATGCTATTTTTAGCAGGGTAGTTACCCATTGCCTGCCCATTGCCAGAGCCTTTCCCTGTCACAATGAAAAAGACTCCAGCAGAGGGGAAAGGTTCTGGCAGTGGGAGGCAGCAGGGAAAGAATCTGGCAGTTCCCCACTGCAAAATCTTTCCCCACTGCTTCCCCCTGCCAAAGCCTTTCACTGACACATATAGCTACACATCACAATGTGGATGGAGCCTGTCTTTCACTGCAGCAGGTAGTTATACATACCCTACATGCTGCTGCCAATGGCGTGCAGTGTAGACGCAGTCTAAGTTGGTTGCACATATGATCAGAGGACTACAGGTTATGGCTTGTACACTCAGAAATGGGGAAAATATCAGATAATTAAATCCAACTGAAAGCCTGTGTTTCCTTTTGAGAGGGCAAACTGTTATACCTATGTGTTTGAAGATACCAAGGACAAATAAGAATTCAAGGACAAAAGTAAACTAGGAAAACTAAAGGTAAATCAATAATCCAGGGAAAGAAGATACCCTACCGTACATTTTAGAGCAAACAAAATGATACACAACTAACCTTCAGCATTTGTCTCATCTTAAAAGCTTGTATCTCATCTTGAATTCAGAAAATGAATATTTGAAAAATCAAATTTAATGTAAATAGATCTATGTTAGATAAACAGACTACAGACTGTCCCAACATTTACCTGCAATGGGTGGACCAACTATCATAGGTACTGACATGAGTCCTAACAGGAATCCTATGGCCTGGGAGACATCCTGTGCACCAACTAGCTCAAAGGCAATAGGAGCCATGATACAAATGAAGCAGCCATCAAACAGACCCATGAAGAGGCAGACAGCAATGAGACTTCCCAAGGAATTGCACAGTGGAATCATCATGGACATCAGGCCAATTAAGAAGAATGATATCACCTAGACAATGTCAAAAAAGTTTAAAAAAATCACATCAAATCAATGAGAGTTGTAAAATAGGGAGTAAATGCAGGCTTCATAACAACTGTGAGGAATTAAATTGGTTACCTATATTTATTGTATAAAAAACCCCAAAAAAACAAAAAGAACCACAAAACAGTTCCTTGCTTCCTGCCAAAGTTTCTACTACTTACTCCACAGTAATGATGGATGACTCAGTTTCCATGCACATCAACATTTTAAAAAAATCTGCAGCTCCTGGGAACTATCCAGTTCCTCCTCCCCATCCTGGCAGTGTCTTCTATTTGCGAGCTGGAGAGCTGGGCTCTGCCAGGTCCAGCAGCTCTAGCAGCAGCTAACAGCTCTGCAACCCATTTGTGTGGGGGGAAAGGATATTCTGCATAGAACATTAATCTCTGTACAAATTCTGCATTGCGCAGTGGTGCATAATTCCACCAGGAGTATAAATTTCTTTCAGGCATTGTAACATGATGTAGCATATTCAGGGAATCGGGGTGTTGCGAATTATCTGCAGAGATCAGTACTTTTCATAGAAATGCCAGAACAGAGGAAAGAGTTTTTCATGGAGGAGGACTTCCCAATCCTGTTATGTTCCATAAACCACAGAAAACTTTTTAGGCAGTGTTTACACTAGGGAAATTTACAAAAGAATTCCCACTAGTTCTAAGGCCACTTCTGCAGAACTCTTGGGAGCCAAAGTGTAGACAAGACATTGCCGGCCAGATTAATTTTTGCCACTGCTTCAATTAGACTTGTTTTTCAGCAGGTTTAACTAAAACAGTGGCAAAAATAGGTCTGGCTATCAAAGACAAATTCTAGTACTAGATCACCTCTTTAGGAGATAGAATCATGGCTGAGTGTAAGCCGAGGACTGCTGATGTAGTCCAATATTGCTCTTCTAAAAGCAGTCCAATTTTGCTCCTATAAAAGCAAAATCTCTGTGGTTACATAAAAACATTGTCAATAAGCCTTTGGTTGTGTTCCAAAGCAACTTCCATTGGACGAGGAAAAAACAGTGACCATTTTAGACAAAGTGGTGGTGACCATTTTAGACAAAGTTCAGATTAACCAATCATTCAAGCATAGACAAAGATGAATCCATCTTATCTGTGACATTTAATAGTTAAATAGTAAAAGGCTGAGAAACACAGAATATAAGAAGAATCCCTTGATCACAATCACCATTAATTGGAAAAGTCATAATGTGGAAATACATTTTACATAGAGCCAAGGGCAAATAACTAGCCCATGGAGGAAGGATAGATTCAGAAAGCTTTATATCTCTTCTTTTTGTCTCCCACTACCCAAAATAGACCTCAAGTTCCAGGTGTCCTGCCCCTCCCCCCAAAATAAAACAAAATAAAAAACAAAACCATAAACACACACTGGTTGATCTTACAGTTAGGGTTATACTCAAGTGCATTTTGCTTGCTGTAGTTAAAGCAGAAGTGAAAATAAAACACTAACTCTGATAGGCTAAAAGACTCAGGTGGCATTGTCATGGAACCAAACAACTTGTTTAGGAAGCAAACTTCTACAAAACAAAGCAACTTCCTAAAGAAGGATAAAGAAAATGTAGCAGATAGCTAAAAATTTGCAAAGGAGAATCCTTGTAAATCATTTCACTACAAGATGGTAGAATCTTAGTGGAAAGTAGATATCTAGTTGCATTAGTCAACCATTTAATTCATAACTAGAGTTGCTGAAGATGTTAGATACTGGCACATTGTACACATTATGGATAATGCTGTTGTAAAATACTGCCTGTCTTTTTGTAGCCAAAGAAATCTCAGTTACCATGATTATCCACATCTACTCTCTCAATTAAGAGATACAAATGTGAAGGATGAAGGAATGCTGAATTTACTGGTGGACTGTTTCAAAAACTAGCATACCACTTTGGCGAGACAGTGAATACTCACTTCCCCTCTTAAAAGTGCTGCTTTGAGACAGAAGAGACAGATGCAGGAAACTGGCTTAATAAGACAGAGAGAGCATACCTGTCTCCTCTCTTTAAATTAGTTGAAACAGAAGATCCGTAGTCATTTAATTAGTAAAATCTATGTCCTGGAAGAGAATGTCAGAGTTTTTACCTAGCCATCTAAAGAAAAGGAAATCTTGGAGCAACAACTGATGCTTCAAAGTAAATGATTCATCTACAGAACTTAATGAGTATTATTGCAAGTTTGACAACTATTAGATGAAGAGATAAGATTGTGGTGCCTTTTAAACTACGTGCAACTTTTCTTTTCTGGTCATAGCAATAATAAAATCTCCTAAGTGTTACAGTAGGTTAGAAATCAGTCCAAAGTATGTTCGGTGTTCCTTCATCCTCCCCATTTGAATCTCTTAAATGTGCGTAAACGTACATAGCCATGGTAACTAAGATCTGTCCATCTACAGAAAGGCAGTCTTCCCCAGCAGCACTGTCCATTGAATGCAGTGCAATTAAAATCCATTAGATGTCTCTCTTGTTATTTCTGAATAAGTTTCTCTTCCCATTCTTTTTTGAAGTAGTTAATACTACCTAAAAACCCTTCAGAACTACAGCTGTGCAAAATATTTGCATTAAACCTCAAACCTACTCATATTTTCCAAGGCTTTCACAAAACTTTGTTCATGAATATGAAACAAAATTGTTTGCACAGCTGGAAAACCTGTGAGCCTCCACTCTCTCCCCAAATTTAGGTGTCTTTGTAGGCTTGAGGGGCAGTAATACGCTTCCTTGTCCTTTCTGCATGGGCCAAGTGGCTCCTTTTGCCACTTCCTTGGGGTTTTTGGGGATGACAAACAGCCACTTCCTCCATCGGGGTCTTTAAGGTACATATCTACAAGGTCTTATTAGCATGGGAATAGGACATTGAGGAATAGGGAAAACATAACTTGCTGCCAAATGACACTAGTTGACTCTTTAGTGCAGTATGACTAGGAAACCCTTCTCTAGCATCCATACCCTAGGTATTATAGGGTATGTTTTCTAGCATGTAGTTGTTAGGGAACCCTAAAACAGTTCTCTAGCTACTATGCTAAATAGATTACAGCATGTCTCTGAACTTCAGCTCAACAGAACCAGCTGGCAACAGAAGAGTTTTCTCAGTATTAAAAGCAAGGGTCCTTAGCACATCCTGTTCCCTCAGAAACCTTCATCAAAGGGCTCACAAAGGCATCCGTTCCCATAACTTCTGCCCCCTGAGCACGCTACTGGGAAGGAAGCGGCCACTTAAAACCTCCAAACAGCATGGGATCTATGGCCACCTGCCTCTAGGAGGAAAGAGTGAGGTAGATCACCAGCTCCTTCTCCTTCAAAAACAAAGATAAAAAGGGGTTCTAAGCTTTAGAGACTCATGCACTTAGTCCTGGAGGACTCTGGTATTGGTAACTGCATATACATTCTGCCTAAAGGTTTGAATTTAAAAAATTAAAGGAATTTTGTTCACTTCCAGTTCCTGCAGACCAAATTGTAGGGTGTAGTTCATAAACTCCCTTGCAAACCAAACTCTCAAGGATCTGAATGGTTTAATCTATAAAAAAGGATTCCAGGAATATTATTCTGAAGCCTGGAATGTTATTCTGAAGCCTAAAATGTCAGCACAGAGTGTGAAGTGATGGAGAAACACCTACAAGCAAGCTGGGAGATCTTCTTGTTTAGAATATCTCCAGGTTCAATCATCATTGGGATTCGTGGTCTGTTACCATCCAATTTTTAAGTTCTCAGCCATTTTTGGCTTAAAAAAAAATCATTCATGTCTTTATGAATTACACCTGTTCAACAGCATGAGCTTTCAGCTACTAGTAAGAATACACTGTGCTAAAAAACCTGAGTCTTGCATGTTTTCCCAAGATTATCATTTGTCCAGATACATTTACATTACATGTGTATGTGACATTAAAAGCTGTTTTAAATAAAAAGGAATCACGTAACATTTTCTAGGTAGTTTTCTATTATGTATCTAGACAAATGCATTTTCCTGTAAGTATAGTGCCCTCTTCTAGTTGGCAGGGCAGACAAGCTGCCTGCTTTGAAATGCTCTCTAACTCAGAGGAAAAGTAATGCATACAGCAGGAAGATCCATACCAAAAACAGTGACATTTGCCTCAAAAAAGTAAGGTTTCATGCAATCACACAAGTTATTATGAGGGGCACACGACTTCTCGTGTCGCCACTAGAGTTGTACTCAAAAAAATGCTGGCGAAACTAGTGGACAATTCTGGTTTCAGGAAGGCAAAAATCATAGTCAGTTTTGGAATGCACAAAAGTCTTGCTATTTCACAGAAAAAGAAGTGTGTTTTCTCTGAAATTTCTCATGAAAATTGCATTTCTCAATAGGGCAAGTCTGCAATTTTCCTGCAGCAAAAATTTACATTTGTTAGTAGCAGCAAACACGTGCACCTCATTTGTGACTTTCATTGCACACATACTGTATATTTAAAATGAAAATGAATGGTTTTGCATAGCTCTAATCACCAGCTCGGATCTTATTGCCAAAAATATTAACTAGCAAAATAATAAAAGGTACACAAAGCTGACAGTCCACTGAATCATCATGCAGAAGCTGTACCTGTAAATAAACTTTTTTTGCACCAGGAATATAGTCTGCAACTCTGCCGAAGATCAATCGGCCGACTCCTGAAGTGATACCAAGACACAGCAGAAGCACCTCTTCTTGTACATTTTCACCAAGCCTCTCTTTTACATGTTTCATCTGTTTAAAAAAAGAAAAAGAAAAAGAGGGGGACGGGCAGAGAAAATGTTGTGGAAATAGAATTATAAGAATAAGAAATCTTTGAAAAACAATTTATAACTCTCCCTCCCCCCACACATACATACATACTGCTTTCAACCATGTTTTAATTCTCAAAAAGTTCACCAATTCTGTTTTGGAGGGATGATAAATAATTTTTTTTAACTGTTTGATCAATGTCACATGAGATATTGACAATAGAAATTATTTAAAAGGGTGCTGGTCAGTTCTATTCTATTCGCAGTTATTCAATTACAAGGCTTGCTTGACCCAACAAAGTAAAAGGTGAACTTGGGGATCCAGGACCTATACTCCCAAATAACTCGTTGCTTCCCTGGTCAGTATTGCTCACACTGTCAGGTCTGAACGTAAAGCACAGTTGGGGAGTATCACCACAATGCTCTTTTCTCTGAGACAGGAGCTGTCCTTGCCAATTGGCTGAGAGCAGAGTGGAGATTGTAGACATAAGAGACCCCTGCTGTATTACCAGTATTGCTAATTCCAACCCTTTCAAAAGTCATGAATCAGTGTGACGCTGGCAGACCAGTTGCCAGCTCATGCCAGAGCCCCAGGCCAATTCACTTGTATATTAGTATATAGATCGAAGTGATTGTTAAACGTATAAGAGCCTTTGGTGTTTAAACTTCATGAAAACTAGTGGAATGTTACTTGCATTGTTTTCACTTATCTGTATCCCCGTTATAACACAGTAGCAAACATTTATATTGTATACACCCCTGTAACTAAATAACCCATCAAACAAGAAAGAAGCCTTGTGGAATGCAAATAAAGAACTTTAACAGAAAAGTGTTAATTTTGAAGCAAGTGGTCATCATGTGTGATGATCGGAGGTCAAAGACTCAAAATTCATTTCTCACTCCATCATCAAAGGACAAGCCCACGTGGGTAGTGACTCTGTCAGCTTGTTTTCCGTGAGAAGCTCTAAGTGTGGATTCAAGGAAAGATCCTGCATCTCTGTGCTGATTAGACTCTTACAGGGAAGTGTACCTGATACAAAGTGGAGATCCCCAGAGACAATCTGTGTACCTTGAAAAGACTTTTGAAAAACTGGCAGTTTATTACATAACTTCCAGCATTTGGAATTACAAACTGTGACTCACTTGTGCATATATTTTACCTTCTTTAACCTCTCAATAACTCTCGTTTCCTTTTCTTAGCTAATAAACCTTTACTTAGTTTACCATAGAACTGGCTACCAGCGTTGTCTTTGGTGTAAGAGCTAGTGCAAGGGGTTCTCAAACTTCATTGCACCGTGACCCCCTTCGGACAACAAAAATTACGACATGACCCCAGGATGGAGGACCGAAGCCTGAGCCTGCCTGAGCCCCGCTGCCTTCGGTGGTGGAGCCAAACCCCAAGCCCCACCACCCTGGGCAGGAGGGTGCAAAGCCAAAGGGCTTCAGCCCCAGGCAAGGGGCCTGTAACCTGAGCCCCGCTGCCCAGGGCTGAAGCCCTTTGGCTTCAGCCCCAGGTGGTGGGGCTCGGGCTTCGGTCCTGGGTGGTGGGGTTCGGGCTTTGGCTTAGGCTCCAGGACCCAGCAAGTCTAAGCCCACCCTGGCGACCCCATTAAAATGGAGTCATGACCCACAGTTTGTGACCCACTGATCTAGCGTACCAATTGATCTGGGGAAAGTGACTGGTTTCTTGGGACTGGAAACAACCTAAATGTGATGTCATTTTTGATGTAAGTAACCATTTTATCACAAAGTCCAGTTTGTCTGGGTGGCAAGATGGACTGGAGAGTCTAAAGGGACTGTCTGTGGCTCCATGGTAAAATTGTTACAGTGATCCAGGAGTTCATATTTGTCACTGGCTTGGTGAAATCTAATTATAAAACACACCACCAGTTTGGGATGTCTGCCCTGAGGTAGGCACTCTCAGTCGTGAGCCACTCCAGACAGTGTGACAGTCAGGACTTAAAAAAAAATCAGGAGATTGGCTTAAAAATAAGTTTTGGGTTCTTTTTATTTACCTTTTAGTCTCTGAGCCTTCACAATATACTCTGGTCACAGTTTCAAGCTTTATTTCTCAATCATGAGGGCTAAAAACTTACTTAAAGATGATATTTTCACATAATGACTTGACTCAAGGAGCTGGGGCTTTAAGAAAAAATGCCACGTATCATGAGTCTTTCAAATATATCACAAGAGTTGGCAACACTGATTAGTCAGAGTGGGGTGCCTTGCAGCAAGTGGGTGAGAGGATCCAGAAAGACCACACATCTATTGTGCAGGAGACACAAGAGGGACTCTCTGTCCCCAGACTTCTGCAGCAAGAGTAAAATCCTACTGGATTGAAGATAATTTCTGAATGGGAAAAATGGAACAATATGGAGAATAGTATAGAGAAGATTGAATGAACATGGATTAAGGACAGACACACATGAGGAAAAGCATGGATAGAAAAAAAAGTTGTGGTCTGAATACAGGCCTAGGAGTCAGCAGCTGTGAACATGGTTCTGACACCAACTTTTTTTCTATCTTGTTACTTGGATACACAATCTGACATTGGAAAATGCCTCAGTTTCCCCATTTGTAAAATGAGAATACCTACTTCTCAAGGATGTTAGGAAAATTAATTTGGTCAATAATCTGCTGCAACATGTGGTGAGAAACTTTGCTTGAATCTAATATAGTCTGTTAAGTTAGGCACTAGTAAGCATTTTATCTTTATTTTTCTTGTAACCATTTCTGACTTTTATGCCTAATTATTTGTACTCAAAATCTCTCTGTCGTTATTAAACTTTTTTTTACTGTTTTATCTAATCCAGCGTTTTTAGACTGAAGTGTCTTGGTAACTATTTAAGATAACAAACTGGCATATTAGTCTCTTAAAGGAATAATGGACTTAATATATTTGTAGTGTTCAGGAGAGGGCTGGACAGTACAGGACATACATTCCTGATAGAAGATCTGGGACTGGGGTGTGCGTTGGAGTCATCCTGCAGTATAACCAAGGTTGGCGAGAGCCAGGACGTAGCTGGTAGGCCACAGTTACACACAGATATCCAGGGTGTGGCTTGCATACTGGAAGGCTGTTTGTGAGCAGCCCAGATGGGAGCTACTACAGCAAGACATTGTAAGGCACCCAAAGTTGCAGGGCAGGGGTGACAATGCCCCTCACTAGTCTGGATTGTGTCACAGAGTCAGAAAAAGTTCTTGAAGAGAAATGAGTGATCAGAAGAATAATCTGAAGAGGAAACTAAGAATTTTAGAAATTATTAAACTTAGAAAAATTAGACTAAAACAAAAGTTGAAACAGAAAGCAAAATTGACACCAAGATATACACAAAAAGGAATGGAACAATGGAGTCAAGGGATGGAAATGGGGCGGGGAGGATCATAAGGGGACATGTAATACATTTTTAAAAATATTTTACAAAGTTTGCTGCCAACATGTTACAACATACACATACACATGAAAATTCAACATTTACAGTCCATGTCATGGGACAAGACTGTAGGAGATGGTAGAGTACTGGGGAAACCTGATTGTGGCAGAAGACAGCCACAATCAGAAGACACAATGGGATATCACCATCCAGTTGGTATATATCTAGTGGGGATCCACTCAAACAATTGTCAGTTCTTGGCACAATGTTATTCAATATTTGTATCAAATGATTTGAAAGAAATTAAAATCCATGCTGGCAAAATTTGCAGAGGACACAAAATTTGGAGGAGCGGTAAATAATAAGGAAAGGTCAGTTCTACAGAGTAATCTGGATTGCACGGTAAACTAGGCTCACTTGGACAATGTATTTTAATACAGCTAAATGCAAGGTCTACTATTTAGCAACAAAGAACACAGGTTATGTTTACAAGACGGCATCCCAATTTGGAAAGCAGTCACTCAGAAAAGGACTTAGGGGTCCTGGTGGATAGCCAATTGAACTTGAGCTCCTAACAGCATGCAGTGCCTACGAAAGCAAATATGATTCTTGTCTGTATAAGCAAGATAACATTGAGTAAAAGTAGGGAGGTGTTAATACCACTGTATATAGCAGGGATCGGCAACCTTTGGCACGCGACCTGCCACGGTAAGTAGGAAGCAGCACGGGCCGAGAGATGTGCTGGCCATCGCTTCCTGCTGCCCCCATTGGCCTGGGGCAGCGAACTGCGGCCAGTGGGAGCCGCGATCGGCTGAACCTGCGGATGCGGCAGGTAAACAAACCGGCCTGGCCCACCAGGGTGCTTACCCTGGCGGGCCGCATGCCAAAGGCTGCTGATCCCTGGTATATAGCATTAAAGAGACCATTATTGGAATACACTGTGAAGTTTTTGTATCCACACTTCAAAAAGAATGTGGACATATTAAAAAGGGTTCAGAAAAAGAGCTACAAGAATCATAGAAATGTAGGGCTCCCTAAGAGGTCATCTAATCCATCCCCACCCACCCCATCCACACGCAGAGGTAGGAACAAGTGTACCTAGACCATCCCTGACAGATGTTTGTCTACACTCTTTTTAAAAACCTAAATGACTTGAGATCAGGAAAGTGTGACAGTGTACCCCATAAGGCTTTATGGTGTGTGTGTGCGCTTATAAATGTATGTATGACATAACTGGAATATGTTTTGTGCTGTCTGTGCCATGTAACATATCTCCGTAAAGGTTATGGTCTACTATATCTATTCATCCTATTTGTACACATATATCATTTTCTACTTGAGGTTAAGAATATGGGCTGTATACTTGCTTGGTTTCTAAGTAAGCTTTGTGAGGCATTTGGTCAGTTTCTTTAGGAAGGAATTCACAAGGTTAAGTACCTGATCAGAAAGCACTTGGGGAACAATGCATCTTGGAATGCTCCAATCCACATAAGAAGTCTTCCTGGAGACATACAAGATACCATGTGGACAATGGCTTCGGCCTGTAAAGACTGAGTCATGCAGGGACATGTGACTTGCCCAGGTGACTCCAGAACTCCATCTTGGAGCT